GGTATTCCAGGTCTCAGCCCCTGAGGACATCGCAGTCAACAGCCTGCATCAACCACCATACATGTGAGTGAGAATCAGATGATTCCAGGCCCCAGCCTTTGTGCCACCTGAGCTCAGACTGCACAAAGCAGAGAGGAGCTATTAGGGATCAATTTCAGCCCAACTTGTAGCTGCATGAGTGTATTAGTCAGGGCAACCGTGTTTGAACAAATACCTGGGCACCTTGTGGCCCAGTCAAGTTGACACACAAAATTAACCATCACAACGAGCAAAATAAATTGTTATTTTAAGCCACTAAGTTTTGGAGCAACTGGGACAACCTAATTCTAAACAACTGGAAGTTGGTTGGTAAGGTGAAAATAGTAACAGTTGTTAGAGAAAGTGGCCAGTTAGTTTGTGAAAGCCAAAACAAAAGTGGGTACACTTTAGGAAGGTGTATTTCCAGAAGTTAAGTAAACAGCTGCCAAGGATAGGGAGACTCTCAAAAAGGCAATTTCGACTGTGATTCCAGGGAAGGAAGGGATGGGGAGGTAGCTAAAATATGCACTAAAACAAGGAAGTTCACCATTAAACAAAGATATTTAAAAGATGTACGCGAAAGATGAAAATATGATTTACCCCAGGGGTGACTGTGTAAGAATTGCGTCAGGAAAGATGAGGAGAGGCCTGCCTGCCTCTCTCTTCCCTCCCTTTTCTTTCTTTTTGTTGTTGCAAATCCCAGACCTCTTATCATTTTACCTCTACAGACTTAGTATGTATGTCTACCTAAAAAACATACACATATTCTCACATAATCATAACATTTATTACAAAAATTTATTTTCTTATTAAAATGTGGTATATATATACAATGGAATACTACTCAGCCATAAAAAAAGACAAAATCGTCCCATTTGCAACAACATGGATGGGCCTGGAGTGTATTATGTTAAGTGAAATAAGCCAGAAAGAGAAAGACAAACACTGTATGATCTCACTCATATGTGGAATATAAACCAACACATGGACAGAGAAAACTGGACTGTGGTTACCTGGGCAGTGGGGGTGGGGGGTGGGCACAAGGGGTGAAGGGAGTCATATATGGGGTGATGGACAAACAAAAATGTACAACCCAAAATTTCACAATGTTAGAAACCATTAAAACATCAATAAAAAAAAAATTTATTTTCTTATTATCAATGGTCTCAAAAGTGTCATTTTGCAGTTTTTTATTTAAACTTAGAAACCAAAGAAGGTAAATTTTGCTTAGATTCAGGTCGAACTGTTTACTTTTTGCAAAAGTGGGAGGCACATAATATCTGGGTGTCCCGCTCTTATTGATGGTAAAATTGGTTGGTGGTGTCAGCTGGTGACAGCCTGGTCCCCTTCACTGCAAAGTTCCCCATCGACCTTTCACCTAATGGTTTTATTCATTGCTGATCTTTGCCTGAATCAGATAGTTCCTTGGGGACAGAAAAAAGAGAAAATTTTCTAAATGCCGTTCTTTTAACATTTACTAGCTTTAATTTTTAGTCTATGGAGAAGAATATTCTCCCTCACCAGCTATGGCTATTTGGTAACCATGTAATCTTGATAGGCATGCTAAAATCCAGTTTTCAGAAGGGCATCTGACTAGTCCACTTAGGAAAGCCTTAGGGACAAAGATGAGAAATGCAGACCTTGTAGGTATCCAATACATTTAAAAAAAGTAATTAGATTGCAATAATTAGATGCAACCAATGTTCTTTTAAAATAATGAATTAGGTTGCTGGGTAGGTCCCATATACTCAGTTCCTATTATGCTCTAGACTGGCACTATCCACTAGAAATATAAGGTGAGCTACAAATGCAAGCCACATATGTAATTTTAAATTTAGCAGCCACATTAAAAAGTAAAATGAAACAGGTGAAATTAATTTTATAATATATTGTATTTAATCCAATACATCTAAAATATTATCGTTTTACCATATAATCAATATAAGAATTATTGAGATATCTTACATTATTGTTTCATACCAGGTCTTCAAAATCCAGCATTTATTTTATGCCTATAGTACATCTCCATTTGGACTAGCTACATTCCAAGTGCTCAACAGCCACATATGGCTAGTGGCTTCCCTAGCCACTATTGGACAGTGAAGCTGTCGGCATTTTATTAACTTAAATCGTCACAGCAATCTTCCAAGTTAGGCATTATTACCGGCATCTTTTTTTTCGGTGAGGAAGATTAGCCCTGAGGTAACATCTGTTGCCCATCCTCCTCTTTTTGCTGAGGAAGATTGGCCCTGGGCTAACATCTGTGCCCATCTTCCTCTACTTTATATGTGGGACGCCTGCACAGCATGGCTTGGTAAGCGGTGTGTAGGTCCGCACCTGGGATCCGAACCTGCGAACCCTGGGCCGCCAAAATGGAACGCACGAACTTAACCACTACGTCACCGGGCCAGACCCTACCTGCATTTTTTATATGAAGAAACTGAAGCTCAAAAGGTTGAAATTCTTGTAATTTGACTATACCACAACTGGAGATTGGCCAATTGTACAGATATGTCTACATCTGTCCACATCTGGACCTTGTAACAGACAGAGAGGCTTTATATCCTCTTTTCTAGGGCTAAACTCTACCTGATTTTGGGTCCCAGCCTTTCCTTTCTTCTCAAGGCCCTCATGCTCTCTAGTTTGTAGTCAGCCTCTCCCTCTCAATGGCTTCTACCTTTCTATGCTTAACTGTATGAAGAACTTTGACAGCTCTCATTCCCTCACCGATCCACCTCCTATCCATCACCAACTGACCCTAAACGTTTCTCAAGTTAGTCCACATTTCTCCGACTTCACTGCCACGCGGCTGCACTAAGCCACCTTCATCTCCACCCTGGACATATGGAACGGTCTCTTTGCTGATCTGCTCCTGTCTTCTTTGCCTCCCTCCAATTCCTTCCCCACCAACAGTCAAAGTGATCTTTTCAAAATATAAATCGGATCATGTCACTCCCCAATCCTTCCATGGTGTAAGATAAAGACCGTTTGGTCTGTAAACACTGGCATATTCTGCCTCTAGTCACCTTTACCAGCCCCATCAAGTGCCCCTCCCCCTCCTCCTTGGAATCTGCTCACCAAGTAATTTAGCTTTCACACCACGGGGCCTTTGCATATGCTGTTTCTTTTGTGGGCACAGTCCAGTTTTTCTCAACCTTGGCACTGCTAACCTTTTGAGCCAGATACTTTTTTTGTGGGTTGTTCTGTGCATTGGTGGATGTACAGTAGCATCCTCTGATGCACATCAGTTGTGGCAACTGATGTCCCTAGGCATTGCCAACTGTCCCCTGGGAAGCAAAATCTCCCCTGGTTGAGAACAAAGTGCCTAGAGCAATCTTCTTCCTCTCTGCCTATCAAATCTCAGTTCAGTAGTCACCTTCTCAGAGTATCCCTTTCCTGATTCTTCAGGCTAGATCCAGTCTCCCTCTTCTGTTATTAATTATACAACCATTTGACAATTATTATCTCTCACTGCACTGTTGGCTGCATGAGGGCAAGGGGCCATGTCAGGCACTTAATATTTGTTGAGTGAATGAGGGAATGAATGCATTTAAGGCCAAATCTGTCCACTGCAAAATCTACACCCTCTTCCCCAAATCCAATTTATCATTTATTGAGGGTCTCCTGGGCCAAGTACCTCATTACCATGAGGGAGATCTTATCCCCATTTTACAGATGAGAGACTGGGGCTTAAGCAATGCTAAATGACTTGCCTATAACGTCACAGTGTGAGAGCCAAGATCCAAATCTAGGTTTTCTCACCCCAAAGTCCACGCTGATGGATGTGAATATGGTCATAGATGTCCAATGCTTTGCTGTGGGGCTTGGTCTTCTATTCCGTACATTTTAAGTCAGTCATTTGAAATAAACTGTAAAGACCACCATGCTTAAGAAATGTGATAGAATCAGAACCCCAAAAAGCCCCGTCAAGGCAGAGTAGGCTATGTCTACAGGATGAAATTTTTAAGAAATAAATGTACGACTGCATCTAAACAGGGAACAAATGTAGCAGTAACATATGTTGACCAAACAAGCAAAAACAACCCCAAACTGCCTTCTGGGGTTTCGTGATGCTCTCTATCAGAGAGGTGAAGGATGGTGATTAGGACTCTCAGAGTTCTCAAGCTGGCAACTCCCCTCATGTTTGTTTTGACATACCCTACCATACCCCCTACTGTGATTACCAATAAAAAACATTAAAATAAAAAGATACCAAATAAGAGGGGAACTGAGAGACAGCCTTCCACTTCAGTCTTGTTAGGAAGGAAACCCAAGAAATAAAGAGGGTGGCCGCCTTCCGATGGAAAAAGAAGGAAGAAAAGACAGCCAGCGTGGTGTACTCCCAAAATCTGCAGAGATAAAAGACTTTCTGAAATATCAATCAAATTAATGACTGTTTTCTCTGGAAAGGAGACAGCTGCAATGGAAATCCTGAGAGATGGAGCGGTGAAAGCCAAGGGGACTCTTTCTGGAGGCAGGAGGCCCAGATTTGCACGTCTTGATTTGACACTAAATTTTCAATATCAGTAGGAAAAAAAATGAATCCTGAAGGAGCTTTCACAAGAAATATTTTTTCTTTACTCTCAAAAGACAAGTACTGTTTTAAAGAAAGAAATTTGCTTTAAAAAAAATCAACAAACATAAAGTACATCTGTTATCTGCCAAGCTAAGCACCATAGGAGCATAAATAAGAATGAGACAGCTCCTGCCCCTACGAGATCTATGAATTGTTACTGTCATTTTGGGACCATTTAAGAAATGTCTGAAACACAGCACTTTCTTTTCTGATATACGTCAACCATCATAAACTACAATTACTTATTTACACGTTTATGCAGATCTGCCCCCTAAAAAGTGAGTGTAGAGAATCAAATTCATCTCAGTGTGGGATCTATCCACCCCGTTCTCTGAACCTGGATAACTCTGCAGTGCAATCCTATTAAATGGTCCCTAAAACCAAATAGAAGCCACACACTAGAAAAGATGAATTGGTCACTTTGATTTCGATGTAAGGAAAAGGATGACACACAGTTCACTAACTTGAAAGTCATCTAATAAGGTGATGTGCCTTATTTTTATCAGTTTGTGTAATAATTTTACTGCATAAGAAATTACAGAGATTGCATAAATCATTAGGTCAATAGCATACATAGAAGGATAAAGCAAAACAAATTAACATGATTATTCTGATTAAATAAAACAGGAAAAATAATCCAATTCTTAAAAGTACCACAAATTTCCCAAATGTGGCTCCTTTTGAGAGAAAATTTACTTCTTGTGTTTTCTGGATATAGTAATGACTGTAGTTCCATTAAGCCAAATGGAAAATTGCTTTACAGCTAAAAACATAAAAAAGCAACTTACATACATGTGTAGCCCTCTTAATAGCGGATGTAACAAAGACATCAGGCTGCCTGCCTTTGCCTAAAGCATGGCTTGAATTTTCTATTAATAGGGACAGTTTATGTAGAATACCACATAATTTTCTGTATTATAAAACTGCACAAGTTGGAGACTCCAAAAAACATTGCAGGACTGAATTTCCTCCTATGGAGGAAAAAGTACATAAATATACTAGATGTTAAATTTCCATTCTTCATTCAATTATTTGCCCTGTTCAAAACACAAAAATACTAATAAATATATTTCCCTACAAATGAAGTTCATTTTGTTTTTAAAAAAGATTAAAAAACCAAAAATCTTCATTTACTCTTTCTTGTCATTAAATAAAAATTCTAATATACAGACACAGTGGATATTTATATAAATTGTAGGAGTCAGTTTGGCATTTCTTATTTACAATCAACGTTTAATAGCGCTAGTCCCTACACAACACAGCTCACATCCCCAATGCAGGTTTAATTCTATTCAAGTCGCTCAAGGTAATTTTTTTCTCTTTTTCTTTTTAATTAAAAAAGAGCTCATACTTGGAATTTTAGAATTTACAGAGTTGTCTGAAAAAATACAATTTCAATGCAAAAACCACATCAAGCATTGAAGGGTATATTGCTGGTGCTGTAATCTTTTTGCACGTCTTTGTTTTCATAGAAAAAAAAACAGAATAAAACAAACAACAAGATTTTTAAATGGTTAAATGTAACCACGTAACATTGAAGATATGCCTCATGCACATATGCACAAACTCAAAAAATGAGGGAAAAAGATCAGACGTCTTTTTTTTGCATTTGCTCTAGCTTCCTCCTTAGGAGACCATAATTCTCCTTAGTTCCTGACGCACTGGGGTCAAGCTGCAGAGAGATCTCGTAGTGTTTTTTGGCCAAGTCTAGATGTCCCCAGCGATGATAAAGCACAGCTGAAATAGCAAGAGATGGATTTCATTGGAAATGCTTCTGAACAACTTGCAGTATTCCCAACCACTTGTACAAAGAAATATTACAGAACCTCTGCAAACAGTTTTCAAAAATCATTGTTTAAAATAATATTGTTTGTACTGCAAACATTATTTATTGTAATCACACTCCCCGGTGATTGTCCGTTTAACCCCCCCAGTTCCTCCTGGGGTTCTTCATATCACCAGGCATGATCTGCCTCCAGACAGCAACATTCTTACATGAAGAAGAAAAAGGAAAAGTACATGACGTTTCTCAATGCTGCCATGAAATTTCTGGAAGCCAGGCTGGAGAGGGCTGGGCTCCAGCACTGCTTGGAGCCCTGACAATGTGGAAGTCCAGCTGTTTACTTTCAATACAGATTTCCCCACACCTTTTGGCAAAATAATAGCTTGTTCGTTGCCAGCTAGAAGCAGGGGCTCTAACATCAAGATCTGACCACAAAATGATAGTTAAAATAAATTTAATTATTAGATTATTATTATATTGATTATTATAATGATTTTGCAAGTAAAACTGACTTTTGACATGGGCAGAGGAACAACTATCAATGTTTCATGACTTGCATGATGAGAAGCTCGAAAGTCCACAGGGAACTGAGCATTCTAAACATCTACACGCTGTTCTCAAAATCTTAATTATTGAAATGTAAAAATGGAAGACAGGAATTCTAGGGAATAAATCATTGTAAAAGTGTCCTTAGCCAAGGTCTGGGAGAACATAAGAACACAGAGAAGACCAGGCTAGAATGGAGGGTCCACTACGGAAAAAGGATGAAAGTTAGACTTTCAACTTACAAAGTACTTCTCAGTTTAGCATTCTAGGCTCCTTCACACAAAGAAATAAAATTCGAGTTTCATCATTAGAAGGTGATAAACTGAATGGGGGATTTTGGGGGTTGTTCTGGTCATACTATTAAGATTTGTACTAGGACTATTTTAGCTACCTTTTTCATGGAATAATTTATTTAAAAAAACCCCACATTATAAAGGAGAATACAGGCTAGATTTAAAAAATAAAAACTACTCTCCAAACATTGATTTTACAGAAAATGTACCCATTTCATTAAAATTACATAGAATTTCAATATGATTCAAATTGAAAATTTCCCTTACCCAGATTGCCATGGTAACTTGCAGCATTTGGATGAGCTTTAATTGCTTTGAGGAATAAAGCTTCAGATTCCTAAAAAACAAAATACACAAAATATAAGGTATTGCATACGATGCAAAAGCAACATACAGTTCTATCGCCTATGGTTTTCAAACTTCTAACGTGCTCGTTTTGGACTACCGTATCCTTCTCCCAGAAATGGAATGACCAGCAGGGCCACGCCCTGTTGAAAAGAGACTTCCAAGGCGAGCAGGGAAATGTGGGACAGGGCAAAGGTGACAGGGCAGGAGTGAGGGGGGAGGGTCAGTGGAAAGCAATGGCGGCTGCAGAGAGAGAATGAATATGCTAATGAGCTCTGCCACTGGCCTCCCTGAAGTGGCTGGAATTCTGCAACTTCAAGCAAGGAGTGCGGTTCAGGGTGCAGTGGAGAAAGGGTGAAGGTCAAACAACTAGGAAAGGGCTGGGCTGTTGAGGACAGTCATGAAAGTGTCATTTTCAGTTGCATCAATGAACTCATTTCCAGGATTCTCAAGGTAGGAGCTGGGGCCTATTTAATCTCCCCCAAGAACCCACAACCCCCTCGGCAACGCAGAAGCAGCCTATTCAGCTGGAAAAAATGAGCAGAGAGACTGAGGGAGAGATAGCCACCTGTCACCTAAGGGGTCGCAGCATGGCATCTGACCATGGCCAAACACCCCTGAGGTGCAAGAACTGACTCTTATATAGACCTGCATTCCCTCCAAATAGCACTCGCTTCCAATCGGGTCACACAGAAGCCTGGCCAAGTGTTCCCTTGTCTGATCATTACCGGACCATGGCTGACTGGATGGTCCCTTTCGACCATAATGCCGAGAAATAAAGATGCCTGACCTGCCAGGGGCGGCTATTCCCGCCACCTGCATCTGTGCTCCTAGAGGGCCAAGCAGGCTTTAATCAGTATCAGACTGCTAAGCTTAAACAACCAAAGTTGGTGGTTTGGGGACAGGTTTGCTCCTTCTATCTGCGCCCTAGGTGAGTTTTTCCAGGGGCTGTCCACGTCCAGGGTCACGTGTGGTATAAAGTGAAGGGAGGCCGGTTTCCCTGCCCTGTACTGGCCTGTGCACTCCTGAGAAACAGGCTGGGCATTTGGGCGAACATCTCTGAAACCACAAGCTTTAGACAAAGCTGGCAGAGAAAAATTTGTAGTATTTTAGAAATGTCGTCCATGAGGGACTGAAAAAAAGACATCGGGATAATATACAGGATGTCAGCAACATCACTTGCAGAACTCAGTTCAAAGTCAGGGTCTACATTCCACGCTTCAGTAGCTGAAACTCCTTCAAAGAAGTCTAAGAGCTTCCTGTCAGGTTAGAGACGCTGCAAAAAAAGTCAACTGGATTGTGATTTGTAGTGGTTTCTAAGTAGCCGTGTTGTTTCTGATGATTTAAAACATTTCCATTTAAAACCTAAAATTTGAGAAACAGGAAGGCCAGGGAACCGAAATGTACTTTATTTTTTTTTTTTTTAAAGATTTTATTTTTTCCCCCCAAAGCCCCAGTGGATAGTTGTATGTCGTAGCTGCACATCCTTCTAGTTGCTGTATGCGGGACTCGGCCTCAGGATGAACGGAGAAGTGGTGCCTCGATGCGCACCCAGGATCCGAACCCGGGCCACCAGCATCGCAGCGCGCGCACTTAACCACCAAGCCACAGGGCCGGCCCCGAAATGTACTTTAAAATGTGTTAACTAAAGACTACTGATTTAGAGATGAAAAGCAAGTTCGGAGTTCTCGAGGGGATGCTAGGCTCCTTCTTGTTCATTTAACTCATTTCACAAAGGCCCGTGAGCGTGACATCATTCAGGACCATGTGGAGTTGGAGTCGGGTTCGGAGGATGTGGTATTCAGGACGGCGTGTGCAGGGAGGCTGCTGCTCTTGGCAAGGCAGGGCCTGCACCCTGTGGGTGATGAGGAGGCCCGGCGGGAAGGAATGGGAGGACGAGTGAGGGAATGGGGGAGGGAAAAATGAGTCCAAGTTCCTAAGCCTGGAAGACAGGAAAATGATGGCATGTTGACAAAAGGAGGAAGAAGAGCAGGTTTGCGGGGAGGTGAGGGTGAGTGGACACACTCCATCTTGGGTGACAGTGGGGCAGCCCCCAGAGGATGCTTCGGCGGCCCCTGTGACTGCAAGGGGGTCCTGGGAGGGAGGGCAGGGCTGGAGGCTTCCTTAGAACACAAACGTCTGTGGGTATTCAAAGCCCAGGAAATGCTCATCTATTACATCAGGCTTTTCAACGGCCCTGTTCTGGAAAGCAATGAACTGTTTATAAACTGATCTGCGGAGGTGTGGGGATGCTGAAAGACCTAGGTCATGAGCTGATTTATGCCAAGAAACAAATAAATAAACTCACATTTAAAATCGGGGATTTTTTTTTCATCAACAGAAAGGGAAAATAATATATTATTTTCTGAAGTGTATCAGACGAAATATATTTGACAAAGGTTTAGGGCAACACATGGGACAGAGAAAGGCCTCGCAGAGGAACAAGTGGGGGTCTTTATGTCTAGGCAGAGGGACTGGGCAGTCGGAGGTCATTTCAGCTACACTGGCCTTGCGGTACCAGCATCACCGCAGCAGCATCCTCAAACCCATCTCTATTCCCTTAGACAGCGTTTCACAAGGGATGCCCTGCAGACCGCTCCGACTAGGGAAGGCAACACAGGTGGTCCGACATGAAGTTGAAACCACAAATCACATAGGAAGAGGGGAGTTCCCTCTTTAATAGGACTTCTTGTCTTCTGGTTCAGTCCAGACAAAAGTCTCCATTGGGTGGTGGTTTGGGGGTCACTCCTTCTAACACCTGCCAATCTCCCTTTGAAGCTGAGAGAGGGTGACCTCAGGTTCAGAGCCTTGGCCAGCAATGGTATCTACCTGAGACTTAATAAAATTATTCTATTGTCAGTTATGTAATATTTATAGTGGTGATATCATGTTTCCACTTTAAATACATTTATCTGTGTTAAAACTCTATTTAAAGAAAGATATCAAGTAAATAATAAAAGTAGTATCTATATGTGGCTAAAAAAAATTCATGTAGGTGTGGCATAAACGTCTGGAGCTGGGGAGGCTGCTCTATAAATGTAACCTACAGGGCCAGTAGAACAGGTAATATAGGAAGAGGAATCAGCGTGAGAGGCAACACCTTAAGCACTGAAAAACATTACTTTTGCATTTTTGCTCTATCACATTAGCCACAATTTGGAAATTAAGTGGCAATAAGTAATATAAATTCTAAAAGGTTTTAATGATCCTTAGAGTTTCATTTAATGATCACTAAGGTAAAGTTATTGTTGTATTTACATATTTACCATTTAATAGTTATAAATTATGTTCTTGTGCATTTTCCCATATCACCATCTCCATTTTACAGATGAATAAACTGAAGCTAGGAGTGGTTAAGTGACTGCTGTTTTGGTAAAAAGGGCTGCTTGGATAAAAAGGTGCCCCATAATCATATGGATATAATGAGAAGGCTCACTCTGCACATCAAAGTCTCAAAAGAGATTTATCAAATGTTAATGATAACATAAAACAGCAAATGCTCAGGTGGAAAGTGAGTTGTACAGACAGCAGACCATTCCTGATGGGGACGATGGCCGAGCTGGAGGGTCTGCTTACTCTACCCTTTAAGTCATAACCACATCACCTCCTCTCCAGAGTGACCCTGCCCAGTGCACACAGTAAGCATCTTATTTCAGATTCCATCTTCTGTTTCCTTTTAGGCTCAGCACCCTGGCCTGGACAATTAGGATGCAAAATGTGTAGAGAAATGGGAAACCCATTTCTCCATTCTGTTCTACGGAGTCATTTCTACTTTATCTGGAAAAAAAAGAACAATGTGAACTGGAAACCAACTTCTGTCACTTAATAACAATTCCAGTTTATAGGCTGTGAGATGAGAGAAAAATCAATACAATGATTACAGAAGCCACATCCTGAAGATGCCTTGCTGTAACTGGTCACTGGACGCTCCAGACCTGTCCCAGGCTGACACAGGTGGCTGGAAAACTCATTAGAAGGGAAATCTACAAACCTCACCTCCCTCCCGCCTACACAAGCAGAGCTGTAAAAAATAAAACTAAACCCCTCAAAAAGTCGTCTCTGAAGCGAAATCTAGAAATGCTAAAATGTATACTGAAGCTTTTAAACTTCCTGAGATTCAAAAACAAGAGAAATATCTTACGATTATTATAGAAAACTATACTGATGATGGTCTCTAAGGAGCAAAACAGGAGAAGTAAATAATATTGTAACATACATTAATTAACCACTAACCTTTAGGCCTAGTGTGACCAAATTAGGTAGAGCCTCTGATTCTGAAAGAAAATATTTCTCTCAAGAAAGGACTAAGGCACTGCTTTTAAAAGCTTGTTCCTGTAACATCTGTTAGATCTCTAGGATGCTGGTTAAAAAATGCATATTTCTTGACCTTACCCAACTGATTGAGACACTATCTCTTGTGGGGAGGAAGCTAGGCATCTGTATTTTAACACGCTCCTTCTGACACAAAATTAAGATTTGAGATTCCTGGTATTAGGAACACTGAGTCCCCTTCGATACACAGGGAGTTTTGCACCTTTCGATTCACAGTCTACTCCTGGCTGATCCTGGAGGGCAGTTAGAGCCCAGATTTAATATCATGTGGTTTTCGTTGGTCAGACACTTCGAGGGCCTTGCAGATGACCCATGACTTACTCTAGATGAGGAAAAGCTTGGAAGCAGCAAGAACCAGGCCTGTATTCTCCACGGGCCATTATTCTTTTAGTGTGAAGACGGCGCCCACAAGTAAACCCAGAGCTCCAGCCCAACTGCAGGAACAGAATCAAACGGCTTCGTGCCAGGTGGGGGCTGGGGCATCTGCTCGGATGAGCTGTCACTGCCCCTTCTTTGGGCTTCCCCTCCCCACGTTTGAGCAACGGTGGTGAATTCTGATGAGAAAGGACATGGAGTTGACCTCACAAATCCATCTTTTGGGCCAACTTCTCCAGGAGGCAAACTGACCAAGCCACACTGGTGCACGGCTACCACTGTTTTGGCCTAATTCCGAATTTAACTGGGCAGAAGTAACATTTATGGCTTCTGTCAGATGCTGGCATTAATTGCAAGAAATCAGGGCCTGCAGTGTACACACCTTGTATTTCTGGGACTTCCCCAGCACGTTCGCCAACGAGAACATCAGAGAGTGGTCGTTAGGTATCAATTCCAGCGCCTCCCGGCCAACCGCTTCAGCCTGGGCTAAATTACCTGGAGTAGAAAACGCAAAAATAAACAACAGGATAACACTGTACTAGTATTTGAGTCTCTCTCTCCAATTAACAGGGCTTATGTGCATTATACACAATGAGCATGAATAAACTACTCAAGAAAATCAGTGTAGAATGTGTAACACACACACACACACACACACGACTGAACAGTCACAAAGCCACTGCAGTCCAGCACAATTCTGACATAATATACAAATAGCTTTTGATTAAATTCTGTAAAAGCATATAAAACCTAGTTTTAATTTTCCCCCAGATACCAGTTATACCCAAATCAGAGAAAACAAGTCTGCAGAATAAGAGTATCCTAGGAACACTTTAATAACTGAATATGTATCATATTGAAGTACACATTCTATACTTCCATTAGAAACAAATGAATATCTCTTCGCATTGCTTAAATGGCTTACTAGCTTTAAATTCTGCCAAATTAAAACTATCATTTCTTATGGGATGCTTGGATTTTTAAAACGAGGGGACCAGAGTAATTACTAATTGATTGAGTCTGCTATGGGCAAAGAAACCAGACCGTCAAGTCTGTTAGCGTTATATCTAAAATAAGGAACCATGGCTCTGAGTGTAGGTTTCAAAGCATCTCCTTTGAGTACAGTCCATGAACTTTAGAGCATAGATGTAGCACCATCTATGTCATAAGCCCCAAAGCCATTCTTGCTCACTTCCGGGTATCTCCAGCATTTAGATAACAGGCTATAGAAGAAATGAGATATTAGCACAAATATTCCTCCATTACTCAATGCTGATTCTAAGCAAAGTGTCATTTTCCCAAATATTCATATTCCAATACGTCAAAGGAAACTCCATTTTCTAGAAGGATAGACATTTTTGTGATGCAAAATACTGAGCCCCAAATTATTATTTTTTTTAAACTCTAACCAGCACTAGGGGAAAAAAACGCACAATAACCTCTATTTCTTAATTATTCAATGGTACCATGCTGTGGAGCAATTTCCTCTAGCTGATTTAATTCACCTTTCCGTACCTGTATTGTCAAGGAGTATGATCATGTTGTTCCAGGCCAAACTGTGCTCTGGTTTCAGCACAGTAGCATTTCTCCATGCATTCAATGCATCCACATGACGATTTAGATCTGCATACTGAAAATAAAGCATGGGCCCAAAAAATCAATATTCCAATTTTTCCACTTTCCCTCTCCAAGACATTACCAAAACCAAATCTAGAACCTAACTTGTATTTATTGAGCTTTTAATTTTTTCATATTAACTCATTTAACTCTCAAAATAATCTCAATGAAGTAGATAACTATCCCCATTTTACAGATGAAGTAACTGAGGCACAGAGAAATTAAGTAACTCACCCGAAGTTACACATCTAGAAATGATGGAGCAGCGATTAGAAACAGGTAGTCTAGCTCCCGAGACTACAGCCTTTTAACTTATAATTTAGTGATTCCAGGTGCCAAATCATATTTCAGACTAATCAAGAGAAATAAGTTAAAAACCTAATCAGTAGTCTTTTTCTAGAAGGGCTTCATATAGTCCGTCTTTGATAAGGTATTACTTAAAAGGGTAAAAAAAAAATTTAATGTGACTAAAAGCTAGATGTGTCAAATTTACCTCGTGAAGAATGGACTAGTAGCCTCTTCCTGCCTACACCTAAGCTTCATATACAACTACTAGTAGACCAGACATTATAAATTCCTTGGAAAAGCCTTATGTGGTAATGTAAACCCCTTGGTATTTTGGAGCCTGTGTGCCTCCTTTAAGAGGAGAGAATTATCAGGTGCTTTCTTTTGAGAGGGCATGTAACATCCATAACAGAATCCAAAATGGCGGGCTCTCCATTTGCATGGTGAATAAAAGCATTCAGAGGGAGAAAGTGATGGATTTTTCAGCAGGTGACCCTCTTGCCCTCTTTAACTCAGTTCAAACGCACATCTCATCTGAATGAACTCAGTGCCTTTAACTCTGCAAAAAGTACAAATGATAACAATTCATCAGAGTTTAAGGCTATTTCTTTACTTACTGTCAAATCTGTCTTTTCATTAGACAACAGAAACATTCTGACTTGCCCTATGACCCACACAGCAAATACGTGGCATCTTATGCAAGAAAAGGAAAGGTTTAATGAATTATGGAAACATTTGCGAATATCTATTTGCTAAAAATGTCAGAATTTCCCATGAAACTCAGAAACTCAAGTTACAATATTTTACGCCTTAAATGAGGAAATGATATGAAAAGTTAAAAAACTTAAAAATAATTTAGCCTGTTATTATATGAACATTTAATTGTCTCTCTATATTTGATGGTGAATTGATTTCCCAGGCAATTCTTTCCAGCAAGTGATATGCGTTTGAGTCACGTGGACAAAATCCGTGGTGACATTCTTTCTAACGCACCCAGGAAAACCAACATAATTTCATTTACATAACAACAAAATTCTTCATGTTTTATTATTTATTACTGTATAATTATTATTATTTATTGAAGATTAACAACAGACTGAATCAGGTAAAATTTACTTTTGTCTTGACTTTTACCCTTCTTATAGCATCTATACAAAGTGAACAACACTTTAAGGGAAGCAGAGAAAAATGGTGACTTAGCAAGAACCACCCCACCCAGAATGTGGATGGGTAATGTACACGTTATTTACCTGTTAGTCCTATGCCCCTCTTTCTATACTCTGCAAACTACATTTCCCAGGGTCCTTTGCCACCTGGCTCCTTGTTAAGTTTCTGCCAATAGGAGTCACAGGTGACCCTCAGATGGAAGACCGGAGTAGTCCTTTCCCCCTACTCTCTCTCTCTCCTTCCCCTTCCTTGGCAGTGTCTCTGAAGTGGCTATGTCCCCTGCTCCACAGTCTCAGGGCTGGAAGCAGGGGTCCTTCCTTCATGATCTCAGCTCCTGAGGTGGTGGCCCCTTCTTTGAGCTCTTAAATTCTGCTGGCACCACTTCCTCCAGTTTGTTCCCCCAACGCTACAGGCTTTCCTTTTACTCTGAGTTAATATCGCCTTTCCATTTTCGCTCTTCCAGCCTTCCAACAACTGTCTAACCAATTCCCTGTATTGAATCTTCTCTATTTACAATACTTAGTTAGCATGGTTTCCGTTTTCCTGAATGGATCCTGACGGATACAAATAGTCCTTGCGTAACGAATTGTCTCTCGTAATGTTTCCAGTCACTATTACCGTAATTCTCTAGTATCAGTAACACGTCCCACACCATCCAGCTCTTACAATTTCCTGTCTCAGCAGACAACTGCATTATATTCCCTTCTCATCTGGGTCCGGAAATCAAAACACATTTCTGCCTCTGTTACTAAAGGGTGACTAAGGAGGATTTTTTTAAAAACAAACTTGTAAGTTATTTGCCAGTATATAAATGTGTTGGTTGAGCTGTTCAAAATTAAGCTCTTAATGCTTTTAAGCTGTCAGGCAGGCGAAAGCTGGATAATTAAACAACAATGGAGAGCAAGATCTTCCAATAAGCCAGAACAGCTGGCGGAAGGGAACACAGGAAGATCATTTCACGGCAGCGTAATGAGGAAACAATACACACAGAGAGCAGGACAAGGTCTCAGTGCAGCCAATGCTACAGAGGATCTTCTGCGCGCAGGTGGGAATGCATTCCAAGGACTAGAGCACGTGGTAAAATCCTGTATTTTACACTCGGTCTTCCTTTCTTTGGACGTAACTCTTACAGAGGGCTTATTTAGCTTAAATTCTCTATTTTCCAAAGCCCAAGGAAGCGCGGTGACAGGCAGCTGCTAGGGGAAGGAGAAGACTGCTAAGTTCAGAGCTTTAAGGTGTAACTGGAAGGCTGCAGGCTGATACACTCACTTTGCAAATGACAACCTAAAAAGCTACCTCCAAAAAAGAAAAAAAAGGAAGGAAAGAAGAATTCACGTGGCTATCAAGTACACGTCACGCAAGTAACTAGTTTTAAAGACACAGTAACTGGAAACAGTAATCCCTGGAACCACCACTCAGTGCAAGCATTCAGATAATACCCAGTCTGCTCCCATCCCCCATTCTCTCCTCATTAACTTTGCCAAGATCCACCCTGCTCTGTATGTGAATGAATTTTTTGGTCTCTATTTATACTATTATGGTGAAGTTTTACTGTCTTCCCACCCTTCCCCTTCTCCCCAGAAAGAACAACGTAAAGGATCAACATGTGCCACCTCAAATACACCAATTCCGCATAAGGATTACTGCACTGAAGGCATGTGAGAGTCAACAGACGCAGAAAGAAGCCTTCCTGGGGCTTCCCTTATCTAGCTAAAGCAGAAAGTGAGAAATGAGGACTCCATAAATCCCCCCTCCTGGGGAAGTTCCATGGCCATGAAGAAGGACCTATATAAACGAACTTCATTACTATCCCCCACATATTTACCTTCTGACAGTTTGCCACCCTTGGAAGCCTACAACCTCTTCTTTGTCTTGTCACTTCTCTACAAATTTATTGTTCTTTGTGAAGATGCTATATAAGCCCAAGTTCTAACCATCCCTTTGAGTTACTCATCACTGAGTTTCTCCCTCGTGTGTGCGCCATGCATGTGTTAATAAACTCTGTTTTTCTCTTCTTAATCTGTCTTTGTTCAGTCTAATTTGCAGGGCCCCAGTGAGACAACCTAGAAGGGTAGAGGAAAACAGTTTTTTCATCCCCTACAACAGTTTATCAGTAGAATAGTTTTAGCTCTCCTGGAATCTTCAGGTTTCATAGAGACAGCTGTTTCAACATCAAAGTATGTAACTAGATCATGAAGCAAAGAATTTTAAAACATAAAAAAAAAAGAAAACCCAAAGCCAGAAATGCAAGGAAGGTCAAGTGGCTCCAGGGAAAGTTACATGAAACAACAGGAATATCTTGCTATCAATCTTCCTTGTTCAAACATCTCGCTGTTGCATGGATTCAGTCACATTACTGCCACCTTCCCTATGTGCCCAGGGAGAAAGAATTCCTCTTTTCCACACTAGAGTAAGTATATAGAGATGGTATCTTCCTATGATACATCATAACTGAAACATGTTTTCTGTTTTTTGAATAATAAAAACACGCAAGCCACTTCACTTTAAAATTTGTAAAACAAGCAGTACTTGCCCATTTAAAGCGACTGATGCAGGGTGAGAGAAGTAAAACTTCACCATCATTAGCCACATGTTCCTGCTGCCTTGTTTCCTCCATTCATAAAATTCTACCTCCACAACTCACACAGTCAAGGCTACTCAGTCCAGAAACAAAGCAGTTTAGACCAAACACATTCTCATCATGGTAAAAACTGAACCCTGGACTTTCAACAAACTTAAAGCAGTTCATGTTTTCTAGGCTGCTCTCCCTAAACAGTCTCTTCTGCTCTGACCTGGTCAGTCTGTCTGCTCAATATTCAGACAGATCTGCTTCCCAAATGCAGAGCCAACAATAGGCTACAGGAATCACAGGGGAATTTTGTTGGTTTGTTTTTGTAAATACAGATCCTCTATGGAGCTTTTGATTCCTTAAACCTGAGATGGGATGATGACTTAGATGTACAACCAGCTTTGGGAACCACTAGTTTTGACAGGACAAGACTCTACAAGACCAAGAAGCTTCGGCACTTTAAAATGAAGATAAACAGGCATTGTCTTTAAAACAACTTTGATGCAATCCTACCTGTGAGGCTGGGCAAGATAAAATCCAGAAAATTATACATAAACTTCTTTTAAAAATCACATCACTATACATGTACTCCAGTTTGGCTAAAATAAGCAAAAGTTTTTCCCTTAACAATTCTATTTAATAGAACTAAATATATGAGGAACATATGTATTTAGTTTCTTGAAACCAAATTAAAGGGTTAATTGGAGGGAGAATATATAATCATTCTTGTTTAATTTTGCTATTTGTGGGTAAGTCTTGTTTCCAGCTTTATTGAGATATAATTGGCATATAACATATCTAAGTTTAATGTGTACAATGTGATGATTTGATACACATATGTATTGTGAAATGATTACCACAATAAGGTTAGTTACCACCTCCATCATCTCACATCATTATCATTTTTTGTGTGTGTGGTTCTTTCCTTTTAAGAAAATCCAGAGCTTTCATGATTAAGCTGTGCCCCCTCACGGAGGCATTTCAGAAATGATGCCAGAATCTATTTCACCATCACTTATTAATATATGTTTTCAGATTTTAAGGTTATTGAAATTATTGTATTAGTTACTGCTGTAATATTTATTTGAATTAAAAAATAAACTATAAAAAAAAGAAAATCAAGATCAATCAGACCTTTATAAATATTACGTCAATAACTAAAAAAAGAAAGTCACTATGGAACACACTATTTTCTATTTTCATCGCATAATCTCAAAGCTCTTTCCGATAAATCCCGTGTCGTCCTGAGCTGTCCTTTATGGGGAGAACAGTTATCAGTAGGAACGCAGGGGCATGCGGGGAGCTGTCCCTGGAGGAAGGAGAAGACAGAAGCTCAGAAATCACATTATGAGTTTGTTTTTTCAATCTCAGTTTCTATTCATATTTTAAAAACAGAAAAACTGATGTTTACCAGGAAGTTACCCCTTGGAGTACTGTTTTACAGGGCATGAGGGACATTATAAATTGTAATTTATTCCTTGGTTTAACCTGTTGTTTTTGTGATCTCTTAAACTTGGCTAATCCAAGCTGAATTGCTCTCTAATTAGAGCTTAAAGAGTTACACAGAAGGAGATCAAATGGCTACCTTCATGTGAGATGAACATACGTGAAAGAACTTTATAAGATGTAGAGAGCCAAAATGGGTGTTACCGTTGTCATTTTATTATAGATACGGGAAAATCCAATCTTGTCCTCTGCAGCCACAGGGCATCTTCCACTCACCAGACGCCCAAGGTTGTAGTAACAATCCGGGTATTTCCTCCTGTGTTTGATTGCTGTCCGGTAACTCTGCTCCGCGGCTTCGAACCGTTTCAGGCTGTTCTGCACTATGCCCAAATTCATCCACGCGGCGGCAAAGTCCGGCCTGGAGGATGATTTTTAAAAAAGATAAACGAGGAAAAGAAAGGCTTAGACTGCAGCAGGCAGGAGCGCATCTCTGCACCACGAGCATAACTAGAAAGACAGCGCTCACTGTATCTGTACAGCCAAAGAGAGCAGCTCCTCCGCTTCCCGCAGCTCATTCCTTTCTTTTAAGATGTTTCCAAGATTATTCATGGCGTGGACGTACTTGGGATTTAATCTGGAAGGGGAGAGAGAAACCAAGCCACCTGTTAATGCTCAGTAGTCTTTACCAAACTCTCAGGAACTGGCAAAGATATCTTAAAGTTGGGGTCTTTATGCGGACAGGCTTTTAATCCTAGAAAGTTAAACCAAGACGCGTATATAAATGAAATGAGAGGCTTGCAGTACCTCACGGCTTCCCGGTAATATCGGATGGCAGCTGTCTGATTGCCTTTGTCAGCCAGGTTTTTGCCAACATTGTAGTGAACCTGAAAATATAGACAATCACTTGGCCATCAGCTGACAGACTTCTTTGTTCTGGGGTATCTATCATTTCATGTAACTGAAAACAAAAGGCAAATGTATTAAAAAAAAAACCCACCCACCAGAACTTGAGCTAAAACGGAGGGCCGGCCAGGGCTGTGCTTTAATCCCCCGCCTGTAGAAGATTCCCCAAAAGGGCGGTAACAAGCAGACGTCCTGCTGAAGTAGGACAGAAGGATGTTTAACCAAAGAGCTCACCAGAGAGAACTGGAAAATTACGAAGCTGGGCTGGTTTTACTGCTAATCCCTCCACTCGCCCCCCTCCCCCCACACCTCCGTCCTGCACTGGGGCTGAAGACGTGGTCAGTGGCCCGTGGACAGGAGAGGGAGGAAGACGAGTCTGTTATACACCACAGCCCTTTTCCGTGGCATCACAAACACTCTCCTTCACGCTAATAATCCCCTCCCTCAGGTGATGACCGATGCCCCTGCACCCCAGTTACAGATACAGTGGTGGGCAAACCCGTCAGACCCCTGCCTCCTGGAGCCCCCGGCTGTGAGTCAAATGACTGCACCATAAACGTGTCACTGGAAGGTGTGCGGGGCCTGGAGGAAGGTGAGTCCCGAGGGCGGCTCCTGGTTTGAGTGTGGGGAGGCTGTCCTGTGAAGGGCCTTCCAGCTGGGCGGGGGGGGGGGTCACTAGGTCAAGGGACTCTGGTAGAGGAAGCGTCCCAGGCGGAGCAGGCAAGTGGGCAGGGTCCCTGGGCTGGAAGGAAGCCTGGGATGTTCGGTTGAGCAACTACAAGAAGCACAGCGCCGCTGGGGTGCAGAGGGCAGGGGGAACCAGGCCAGAGAGTATGGGGGAGCAGGCTGCCCAGGGAACCCCGAGTGAGCGGCGGCAGGTCTGGTTTTTAGTCTTTGTTGCGAGAGCAACAGAAGGCCAGCACAGGGTCTGTAAGTGCATGAGTTTCTGAGGACTGTCATAACAAAGTACCACACGCTGGGGCTTGGGGCCCTTAAGACAACAGAAATGTATTCCCTCATAGTTCTGGAGGCAAAGATTAAAGGGTGGCAAGGTTGGTTTCTACTGGAGGCTCTGAGGGAGAAACTGTTCCATGCTTCTCTCTTGTCTTCCGGTGGTTGCCAGCAATCCTTGGCGTGCCCTGGCTGGCAGCTGCGTCACTCCAGTGTCTGCCTCTGTCTTCACATGGCCTTCTCCCTGCGTTTGTCTGTGTCTCTGCTCTCTCTTACAAGGACGCCGGTCATACTGGATTAAGGGCCCACCCTCTACCAGTATGAACTCATCTTAACTTATATCTCAATGACATCTGCAGGGACCCCATTCCCAAATAAGGTCACATTCACAGGTACCAGGGGTTAGGATTTGAACACATCTTTTTGGGGGCACAATTCAACCCATAACAAAAGCCAGGGGCAGGAGGGTGGCAGAGGGTTATAATCAGATCTATGTTTATGTAAAATAAATCACACTGTGGGAAACACGTGAGTGGGGAAGAAGCAGACATCAGTGGTCCTGGGAGAGCCCGTGGCTGTGGTCCCAGGGAGTGAGGATAGCAGACTGAACTAGGGTGGTGGTGGGCAAGTGGAGGGATGTGAGTAACATCATGGGAGCAGAAGAGCACAGAAACTGCTGAGGAATTGATAGGAGTGGGGAAGCACGTCGAGAATGAATGCTAGGTTTCCAACTTTCACAGCTGAATGGATGTGACTGATGGCTTTCAAGGTGATGTGACGAGTGGATAGGCTTGTTTGGGGGGGATAGGAATCAGGCTGATTTTGAAGTTCTTGGAAAACTTAAGTGGAGAGACCAAGGTGGCCACGTGAGCTCAGGAGTCAGTAGCAGGCTGGGGACACCAACGTGGCAGGCAGAGAGGCACAGGCGATTAAAGCCACGGGTAGTGTGATCACCCAGAGAGCCAGCCTGCAGAGGAAAAGCTCCCATAGACACTTCTCATTTCACTCCTCTCATCAAACTACAAGCTGGAGAAACCAACAGGGATACACCAATAGAAAGAGAACAAGGTGATGAAAGTGTTCTAGAACCAGATGGAGGTAGTGGTCCCATGACAATGTGAATGCACCAATGACACTGAACTGTTGACTTTAAAATGGTTAATTTTAAAATTATTTAATAATAATCATTTTATTCTGAAAAACATGGGAAGTTTTTTTTTAGTTTATTTTTTAATTGTGGTAAAATAAACAGAACTTAAAAGTTACCATCTTCACCATTTTTAGGTGTACAGTTCAGTAGGGTTAAGTACATTCATACTGTTGTGCACCCAATCTCCAGAACTCTTCATCTTGCATATTTGAAACTCAGTAACCAGTAAACACTAACGTTCCATTCTCCCCTGCCTCTAGCCCCTGGGAACCCCCACTCAACTTTCTGTTTCTATGAATTTGACTACTCTAGACACCTCATACAAGTGGAATCATACAGTATTTGTCCTTCTGTGACCGGTTTATGTCACTTAGCTTAACGTCCTCAAGATTCATCCATGTTGTAACATGTGTCAGAATTTCCTTCCTGTTTAAGGCTGAATAATATTTCATTGTATGTATGTACCACATTTTGTTTATTCATTCATCTATCGATGGACACTTGGGTTGCTTCCACCTTTTGGCTACTGTGTATAGTGCTGCCATGACCACGTGGATTCAAATATCTCTTTGAGATCCTGCTTTCAATTCTTTTTGGTATATATACACTCAGAAGTGGAATTGCTGGATTACATGGTAATTCTATTTTTAATTTTTTGAAGAACTAAAATGGTTAATTTTATGTTATGAGAATTTTGCCTCAATTATAAAAAAAAGAGAGAGAGAATTTTTAATGATTAAAGCGGGTGGTAAAGTAGACTAGAAGAAACAGACTCATAGCTGCAAACCTACTAGAAATTCTCAAGTCATCTTAACTCAAGGGCACCAGGGAGGCCAACTTAATGGCATTTTCTCAAGTGTATGTGGGCTCAGAAAAAATTACAAGGAAAGGAGCTGGGACCCAATCTGTGACCAGGGCAGCAGAACTGCACAGACTCATGAGGACTAGTAGCAAAAGTATTAATTGATGATCAAAAGCTCCTTTTGGAGGCTTACAATGTACAGGCCAATAGGTATCTCAGAGGAGATGACGCTATAGAAATTCATTCAGTTAGGTGTGTTAAGTGTGACTAATAATAACGACAGTCACATCGGCAGCCGGCATGTGCTGAGGGCTGCCATGAGCCAGATGCAGGGGCTGGCACTGTACCCACAGTCTCTGCTCACAGCAGCCCTGCCAGGTGGCTGCTGTCACCCTCCCTTCCGAGGGGAGGGACTGCTGCAGCATCGTCAAGCGTCTTACTCGAGGCTGCGGTGCTGGATTTGAACCCAGGCTCCAAAGCCTGTGTTTTTCTCACGATATCACACCCATTTACTAGGGCGCTAAGTGAAGATGGGGCTGACTGCTCGAGGCGATTTCTAGACCCACTCATTCAGACCATCTATTATTTTTCTTAAAGTAAAATAATGTTTCTCGTTGTGTGTTAAGGGCTGAATTGCGTCTCCCAAAATTCATATGTTAAAGTCCTAACCCCCAGCACCTCAGAATGTGATTGTCTTTGGAGATAGGACCTTTAAAGAGGTAATGAAGTTAAAATGACGCTGTTAGGGTCCCTAACCTAATATGACTGGTGTCCTTGTAAGAAGAGGAAATTTGGACACACAGAGACACCAGGGGTGCGTGCACACGGAGGTGAGACTATGTGAGCACACAGCGAGAAGGCTGCCATCTGCAAGCCAAGGAGAGAGGCCTCAGGAGAAACCAGCCCTGCTGACACCTTGATCTTGGACCTCTGGCCTCCAGAACTGTGAGAAAATAAACTTCTGTTGTTTAAGCCACTCAGTCTGTGGTACTTTGCAATGGTAGCCCTAGCAAACTAATATATTGTGAAATGCAGTAATGGTTTAAACACGTTCAAGTAGCATTACATCAGAACACTTCAAACCCCCCCCTGAAAATATAATCACATCCTGCCTTATCAATCATAACCTATAGTTATAGCATGTCTTCAAAAATACTAATATTTCTGGAAGGATATGGAGTGACATTCTTTAAGCACAAATGTAACAGATTTTTTTAACTGCCAATTTTAAAGTATATACATTTATTTTTACCTAGTCTGACAAAAGGAATCACAAGCAGAGATATCACAATGATAGAAATGTGTGCTATTGCGCAGCGCACAGTAAAATTTAAACTTTCTGAACCAAATTATTGCCCATTTGTAGGCATTATCATCTTCAAATTATAGCCTGGAGGAGGCCAGTCATTGCTGTGCCCAGAGCACGGGTTTTGAAAGATATGTTTTTTTTTTTTTTTTTTTTTAAATTTTTATTTATTTTCCCCCAAAGCACCAGTAGATAGTTGTATGTCGTAGTTGCACAGCCTTCTAGTTGCTGTATGTGGGACACGGCCTCAGCATGGCTGGAGAAGCGGTGCGTCGGTGTGTGCCCGGGATCCGAACCCGGGCCGCCAGCAGCGGAGCGCGTGCACTTAACCGCTAAGCCATGGGGCCGGCCCTGAAAGATATGTTCTAAACGGTTCCACTCTGTGCCTCCCCCAGCCCCAGCCTGGAAAAGTTGCTTCACCTCCTGTCCCGCGCACAAAAGAATGAATCTGGAGACAACCTTCGAGCACATGCTCGTGGTCCCCAGAATACAAAGACAGCTTCTACTCAGACTCAACACGACTCCTGCCTCTTCCGCCCCCGAGCTCCTGCAGCTCTCCTTTGTTACGAGGAAATTCTGTTTTCTCAATAAAAAGCTCAGACAAAGTGTTCAACTGCCCTCTGCAGTATAGACAGCGTTCTGTGAGACACCCAGAATGCCTGAGAGCAGAGGATCCGGAGATAAAGAAGGGGCACTCTGGAAATGCAGACTGCATTTGTGTCAACGGAACTACTTAAAAATCTGATACAGCCCTAGAAGGCAAGCTGTCCGTCATTAAGAACTGTAAACAGGTTTACCCAGAGGCAGCCTTATCCTATGGGTTATATGCAGGGAATTGTTTGAATAGAAAACAGCTGCTTAGATAACCTCTTGTTAAAAAAAACCCACACAGTTTCCTTAAAATAGTGTTTAAAGAATGATTGATTTTTTTTCCCATGGAATGTAAAAGATTGAAAAAGCCTGTTTATTCTTGAACTTTCCCTCTAGCCTATGTGATTCATACACTGAGGCAGTGAGGCAGCACAGAAGCCACAGATAAAACCCACCATTGCAACTGGGCGACATGTAACACAAATCACATAAGACCATCGATGATACAAGGCCCTCACCACCAGCGCTAAAACCAGCTTGTTTCAAATATTCTGCCAATATTTGATGTTAAACTTAAAATGTTTCAAACACATAAAAACCCTATAACCCATCCTGGTTCATCCTTAAGGAAATATCTCATTGTGGTATCTGATCCTTTCCATTGTTAAAGGAATTTAGAATTGTATTACAGAGTTGATACAAAGTGCAACATACTTTTAAGCCTTAAAAACTAGAAGTGACTGTACATATAATTAGATACTTGGTATCTTATACACAGTAGGCTCAAGGAATTTAATTTCCATTTGGCTCAGTTTAATCACTAATATTCAGTGCCTAACATATGCAAGGCACTGTGGGTAATTCAAATGCAGACCAGGCACCGCACAACCTACATGGATATTGCAATCTTTTGAGAAAGATGAGTCTCAGTTTGTAAATCTTGGCCTAATCTAGAGCCAGGTGCCAACTGCTTACTTAACATTCAATGAATATGAAGTGGAAACCAGTACAGAAAATGTATTGCCTGCAACAGAGTTGAGCAAACCAAACGTCTTCCTAAACGAGATCTCTTCCCTGAAATCAACCTAGATTTTTTCCAAAGAAAGGAAGACAATTTTATTACACTGCAATTTATAGCAGAAATTAAAAAAAAACTTCCATCCTGCTCATATGGAATGGTATCACTGAAAAGAGTTCTTAGAAAGGACATCACCACCGAGTCCATGTTGAAGATGGGGTCTGGTACACATGTCTTAAATTAAAAAGAGAAAACTATACAAACAGGCATAGGATGGTTGTGTGCACACCCTGTGTTTTCTAGCCTGTAATATATGAAATCACTTACTAGGGCAGATGTAGAGGCACAAATGTCACATATGTCCCAGCCCTCCTCATTTACTAATCTGGGCACCACACCATACCAGGTCTCTATCTAGCCACCTAAATACTAACCTTTCTATGCCTCAGTTTCTCCTATTTGGAAAAATAAAGAAAACAATACTCTCTCTCTAAAAACCTTAGGGGGAGGATAATGGAGATTAATTATAGAGCCTCTACAAAGAAATCTTAGTTCCTTGTGCGGAATGACTATACAAATAGAATATATAATTACTGTGATTCAAACAAAAAAGCAAAAATAAAGCAAATCTATTAACATTTATGAAATTAAATCATAGGCAATTTATTTTTAGTAGCATAAGATAAATTGATAGGCCAGCAAAGCAAATTAACAATATAAGCCTGAAGCCATTCACTCTTTTATCTAAGTCTCTTAACTATAAAACATGAACAAGATTTTTTTAATTCAAGCAAAAGACAAACAGGGAGTCAGCACCTTTTATACTATTCTTCACTTCAGGGTCACAATAAGATGTCAACTATTCATTAGATTTATTCATGTAATTTTGTCTGAAATTATTTTGCTTTCTCTTAATAGAGAATGTGGAAATGGGACAGAACTCCACAGAGTTCTTTGTCCCCCCCGCTCAAAGGATCACATTTAGGCATCCTAGGAAGCTCCAATTCTGATGACACAAGAGAGAATGCAGCATTATTTGATAATAATAATAATAATAATGTATACTAACACAAAACGCTTCTAACCTAACCCCTTAGCTTCCCACTTTGAGCAAGTAGCATTCCCTTCTTGTCATCTAATGCAACAATCAAAACTAAAGTGAGCCTAAGAAAGCTAACATTTCTTGAGCACTTACTCTATTCTACCTACCACGTTAGGGCACCTCAGACACTATATTTCACGATGGTCTCACAGCAAACCCAGGAGATAGGCATTACGGCCCCTTACAGACAAGGGCACTAAAAGTTCAAAAAGTTTAGTTTTGCCCCAAGAGGCACAACTAGTTAAGTGAAGAGCTTGAGTCATCAAGATACAGGTGAAACAAATTCCTACCAGAGGCTTCAACAAAAACACTGCCAATTTTAAAGTCTACACATTTATTTTTACTTAACCTGACAAAAGGAGTCACAAGCAGAGAAACCATAGGTGATAGAAACGTGTACTACTGCACACCAAACAGCATAATTTAAACTTCCTGAACCAAACTGCTGTCCATTCAAAGTGTTAGCATCTCAAATGACAGATGGAGGAGGCTAGTTAACGCGTGGCCAAAGCGTGCATTTTGAAGTGCGCTCTCAATGGTTTGACTCTGCGCCTCCCCGAGGCCCATGTGTGGTGTTACCCTCCTGCCAGCACTTCAAAGGGTGATTGAACCAAGTGGAAGATGAATAAAACCTCATTTAAGTAATGTGCTGTTTCACTGACACTGTCTGGTTTTAATGATTTCTTTTGAGTTATTTTGGATAAGTGGAATTTTAACAAATTTTATCAAAATCATTAAAAAAAAAGAAAAATCCAAGTATTTGGTGATGGTCTTATGCTAGATTCTGTGTGAAAGTAAACATTCTTCTGACTCAGCTGTTGAACTTCAAACATATCCTAGTCAAGTCTTTCTAAAGTAGCGAGGCAGCCCACATACCTTGGCATTGAGAGGACACACAGACAGGGCGCTTCTAAAAAGCCGCTCTTCACTCCGCCACTCGCAGCTGCGAGTCACGCATCTCAGCATGTTTATGAATAAAATTCCCAGTACGAAAGCACCGATTAGTTTCTTAAGAAGAGAGAGACATGGTAAACGTCATTAGTAAAATCCATCCACTCGTCCTGGTGATGAAGGGCACCACTCCTGGCCAATACCTTTTTCCTCGTATGTTTACTGAGAGCTCCGAATCCCAAAGTCAGCAGCATGCAGTACCCAGCACTGGGGAGGTAGAGGACTCGCTCTGCCACCACAAAGCCCACTCGGAAGAACAGGTTACTCGCAGGAAGAAATGGGATAATGAGAAATCCCAGGCCCAGTGTAAGGATCCTGGAAAATGAGAAGTACTTAAAATGGCTATTGCAGACTTCTCAAGAAAAATGTCCTACTCAACTTGAATGATAAAGACCTTTTCTTTCTTCAGCCCGCTAATTGAAAAAAGGTATCAGAAGCAGCAAAGAAATGTCATCAGTAGAGAGGGTTTAGCCTGGCTGTATTAGGATAAGACATAAAAATCTTACTAAGGCCCTTAGTATCAGGCATGAGGATAAAACTTACAAGTCACATGAAGACATTCATGAAAAAAGAATGACTACATTTGTGAGGCCTTATTACTTAACCTACTCCTAATTCTACCTCACACCCTGTAGGCGTTGAAGAGCTCAGTGGATATTGGTCCCAATTAGTCCAATATAGTTTTCATGGGAAAAAAAAAATTTCCTCCCTAAACTTAACAGGAATAATAATACTTCACTAGTTTAAGCTTTATAAAATCTGAAATAAACTAATATCATTTTTGGGTGCTACATCACCAAAAATTTCAGGCAAACAAAAAGAAAGCTGAGCAATAAAACACTCTGGAACTAGGCAATCCTTTTTAATGTCCCATATGATGCAAGAGGATGAATTAAAAGCTACGTCAAATATGGTGGCTCCTTCCCAAACTCTGTGCCAACAGTATTTAAAAAAATAAAATCCAGGGCCAGCCCGGTGGCGTAGTGGTTAAGTTCACATGCTCCGCTTTGGCGGCCTGGGGTTCACGAGTTTGGATCCTGGGCACAGACCTACACACCACTCATCAGACCATGCTGTGGCAGCATCCCACAAACAAAATAGAGGAAGACTGGCACAGATGTTAGCTCAGCGACAATCTTCCTCAAGCAAAAGGAGGAACATTGGCAACAGATGTTAGCCCAGGGCCAATCTTCCTTACCCCCCAAAAAATAAATAAAATAAAATCCTATTGCACATGTATAAGTGAATTGGGACTAAAGTTTGTTGCCCTTTAGAATTACGAACCAATTTAAGACACAGGTAAACTTGAAAACCTAATTTATTTTGAGAAATTACTAATCTAATTCCATAAACACTTATGCTTAAAGGAAATCATCTTAAATAGTTTTCTTTTTCATGAAGAACATTTGCTTCCCCCTAATTATTTTCTCAATAACCTTTTTTTTCCTTTTTTGGTGAGAAAGAATAGTCTCTTTGGGGCAGCAGTTTATTTTGTACCAAACAACAACAGAAGGAATCACTAGCTTCCACCAGGGTTTTCTGAAGGAGAATTGTGAAATAATGGGCACAACACACATCAATTACACTCTCTGTTCTGACCATAAATTACTCTTTACCACCTACAGAGAAAAGGATCTCAAAATGCTACTTCACGGGCAAAGGGGGAGAGGGACGCAGCAGCCATCCCTCCCCCCTCCTCCAAGTTCACTCCCCGTGAGTTGAAGCCAGCGATGGATTCCAAATGGGTAGAACTCATTGTACCCATAAATATGTATTTGAAACAAATCTCCTTCGACATTACTTCCACAAAATTGTTAAAATGATCAGTGCTGGATTTAGCAAAATGCTTCTGACTCAACCTTGGGTGCAAGTTAAAATTCAGCGCTCCTCTCACCTTCTCCTGTGGCTGTCTTCAGAGCACAGGGCTTGGCGTATTAGGCCAATTAGGCAGATCCAGAGAGCTGCTAGTGCAATTACCCTCCAGTCACCAACCGACTTAATGAGGGGGATGCAGCCCATTGACCAATCAAAACACAGCCACCAGGGGCACAGCAGCAGCCAGGCATTCAATGAATAGTAGTAATTATAGTTTATGGCCTGTCAGTCAAAAGGAAAACAAACATTTGATACTGAACTTGAAAAAATATATATATCCTAACTCCACTTCTGAGGCATCCATACGCCTCTATTCAAAGAGAGCAGTTGTATAAAAGAAAACGTTGCCACTTTCTACATTGGGCATGGGGCTGTAGTTTGCACTTTATTAAATGCATTCAGATTTTAAGAAATAAAAATACAGCAAACCCACCAGACTCTGCTATACATTTGTTATATTTCTGGTCAAACTACGTCTAATTTACTTAGTGATGCCCAAAGTGACCCAGGAAATCTGAGGCCCAGGGGCATCTGTGTGTGTAACAACATAAGAATAGGGTTCTATGGCCTTTCTCTTTATCTCTGTCTCTATGAAACGCATGGCTAAGAATCTGTGGCTTGACACCCTTGCCTTCAGAAAAAGCAAACCTTTACAATAAGAGAATCTTGACACCGTTAGACTTTTACAGATACCACTGATATTGTTATATTTTGTCTTCACCCCACCACATCAGTTTCCTTTGTAACAAAAGTAATGGGGTCAGGGGACACTTTAACGAGGCTGGCAAGAAACCTGATATTAGAAGGAAGCACTCCTCCTTAATTTTGATTAGAAAGGAAACACAAGGGGCTTCTACCCTCTCAATCCCCTAATAAAAACCTGGTTCATCCTAGAATATCCTTAGTGAGAACAAACAAACATGGAGGTGTTCCATTTATTAGGGATTTTGTGGGGGTGCAGGGGAGGGAGATGAGGAGGGGGGATGAGGGATCTGAGATTCTGGTGGGCAAAGAAGATAACCCAGGGGCGGCAGACTCGGAACTCACCCTGACCAAGGCGCTGTCTGCAAAGGAGGCAGGGTTGTCCACCTCGGTGAACGCCGGTGGCCCAGTGCCCATGATTCTCCAGCGCACGAAGAGCACCCCTGCTCCCCCCGAGGCCAGGAGGGTTATTCTGAAGAGGAGGCCTCCATTCCTGAGCACACTGATGTTCTGAAAGGACACCCCAAAGTCCCTGATGTCCCAGATTTTCAAATAAAAGTGCAGCCAAGCCAGGTACAAATGTGCAGCAATTCTCCCTAAACTTTGTTGACACTGTGCTTTAAAAGGCCATCTATCTCAGAATTCAAAATCGCAAGAAATACTTTGAAAACGGCATTTTAAATCAGCTGGTACTTGACATTTTCCACGCCTGGGCTGGAGACAGAAGTATACTCACCTCTAATGACTTGTCCTTATGGAGTACCTTCTGGACAATTTCCAGAACATTTAATTTGCCTATCACCAAGATGTCAAAGACTGCATTCAACCCCTAAGGAGGCAAAGCAAGGCAATCAGTGACGGGAGAGACTGACTCTGATTAGGTAGCAATTATACTTCACAATTTAATACTGAATCTAGACTAGGAATGTAGTAGATTAGATAATCATGGAAGACCTCTTCAGCTCTAAAAAAATCCTCCCCTATTGTTTCTATGAAATTAGCTCATGGTAATATATTATAGCAAATTTGTTATCTAGTAAATCCTTGTTAGCCATAATTTCATAGTCTGCATATAAGAGTGCCATAAGATTCAGGATAGCTAGAAATTTGGGGTTCCCAGGAGAAGTTCTGTAGAGGTCCCTCTTCCCCTTTTTTTTTCTTTACTATAAAACAGTCCCTTAGTTGATGTAACAGAGTGGCTACCTGTGCAGTAATTATGCCTAAGAAGATAAAGGGAACCATCAACCTCAAAAACCCAGCCACAAAAGTAAATACACCTCCAGAACCTCAAGTGCTGACTGATTTTGGTAAGGGCAGTAGAAGTGGGACCAGAACATATAGAATAATCTCTGAGGGGGCTTGGGAGATCTATCAGGGTCAGACTCCTGGATGTCCACCAGCTGTCCCTTCTTGCTGGGCACATGGCCTGACTGCATTTCCCAGCCCGCCCTGTGGTTAAGCGAGGTCATGTGACTGAGTTCCAGCCCAGGGAACATGGGAAGAAGTGACAATGCCCCAACCTGGAGGTCTGGTTATAGACCTGGGCGTGCTCCTCCACTCACTTCTCCTTCAGTGGCTGTGATGGAGACGATGGAGATGATCCGGGCGACTTTAGAAACTACACACTGAAGATGGCACAGCCTCTGCCAGCCTGGGCCCACCACGTGGAGGACAGCCAACTCTGTTACGTGAAGCCTTGCCCACGACTACTGGGTGAACGATAACTTCAATTATGTGAAGCCAATGGATTTTGGGAGTGTGATACTGAAGCTCCACCTATGCCACCAGCCTCCAACAGCACCATGATGGTTTCTTTGGCAGCTATTATACCTACAGTCACAGGCTGAAGGCCGGATGAGCTGTGGATTCCACTGTCTACCCTGCAGTGGACTTTCTACAGATGTCACTGCCACAGGTAACATCATCTAGCAGAACTCCCTACTCAATCTGGATAAAGTGGTCAGAATATACATGGCATATATGGTTAAAGCTGCCCCTAAATGACTTGGGTCTTTTTAATATGGGGCTTTGTGGCAAAGAGGATCATAAATCATCAGAAGCCAGTGGTAATTTGTGGTTTTCAGAGCAAGGATGACATCCCTACTTAACCCTCTCCCATAAATGCTGGGAGCCATTAATTATCCAATACACAGGCCAGCGCTGGGTTAATCATTTCAAAGAATTCTGGTTTTATTTACCCATGTGATACACGATTTTAGTGGGTCACAGAAGACCATTTCTGCCTGGGTGTAAACCATTTTCCAGAAGGCAGAAGCTCCATTTGTTTTTCTGCCTGTGAGCTAGACAATAGTCACCAAGGGGTGATGGGGCCGTGTCATCACGAGGACAAACTTGGGTTTGGCACTCCCTCCTCCTTCCATTTAAATGCATCATCAAAATGTCCACATTCTAATAAAATTTTTGAAAACAGCTAAATTTCACCATATCTCTATTCACATAAATTTAACCTAACTCTTTAGTGCTTTAGTGCAAATGTTAATGTACGTAGGAGTCACCTGGGGACCTTGTTATATGGAGATTCTGATTCAGCAGGCCTGGGGTGGGTTCTGAGATCTTAAATTTCTAATAAGCTCCCAGAAGATGCCAATGCTACTGGACCTCATACCACACTTTGAGAAGCAAGGGTTCAGAGCAGTGGTTCTCAATAGGACGAATTTGTCCCCCAGGAGATGCTTGACAATGTCTGGAGACAGTTTAGGTTGTCACAACTGAGGGGCTCCTACTGGCATTTAGAGGGTAGAGGCCAGGGCTGCTGCTAAACATCCTACAACGCACAGGACAGCCCCCCATAAGAAAGAATGATCCAGCCCAAAATGTCAATAATGCCAAGGCTGAGAAACATTGGTTTAGAGCAAACTTAAAAACAGTTACTTATGAAATTCAAGTCTCTTTGTACAGTAATTCTTTCTACATCATTTCCTAACTAGCCAACCTTAATCTTACAGATCGAGCCCAATACAACTGCTGATCTTTGCCCTGACTTGTGAAACCCCAAATAGCTTTGCTCTTTCTTTCCCAAGCTATTCCCATATGGGCCATTCACATCCCACATCTTTGTCTTCCATCTCTCTACCTCTGCTCACATCCCTAATTTCTAAATTTCCCTCTAACAATGTAAGGCAGAGATTTGGCTAGAATGGAGAAAAAGGAAAGTGGATGTCAATGCCTCTCCCTTCCTGGGGCTTCAATTCTGATCAGACCCAGGACATGCATGCCTCTACTCTTCAGAGGCCCTCTCTTCTCCTCTGACGTTTCCAGTTGAAGCCAAGTATAACATAACATACATCAATACTTGTTTAATTGGGACCAGAAGCAGGGATGGGGTCAGAACACTGTTGTATTTAGGACTGCTGAAATATGAAGAGCATCCTAGAAAACTCAAACCACTCTTTTCTCTTTTTCTACAGGACCGCTCCAAGAGAGCTAATCACCAGTCTTTAAGAACCTTCCTCTCTCCATTTCCACCAGTTGCTAAGATAGTCAACTGAGACTGTCAATTCCCATCTGAAAAGCCAGGATTGTGACAGCACAAGTCATTGGTCCAGAAAGGTCTACGACTGCAGGCCGGCAATAGGGTAGAGAAGTAGAGGAGGTCACAGAGGCAGGGCCAGCCCCACTGATCTTTATAGGAGGGGCAAGGGTGCGTATAGAGAGCAGGCCCTGACCACATCCTGGGTCTTACCAGCACGGTGATCCCTTGCTCTTTGCACAGCATGGCCACCGCTCCCAGGAGGATACTCAGCAACACCCAGAAGGTTGAATGCGTTCCCTCCTTGTTACCTGCCAATTAAGAAAAATGACAAACGTAAAAGTCATACAACACAGCTCAGTCTTGTTAGCACCAGGAACTACAATTCTAAGCCTGCACCTTAAATAGCCACAATTTAAGAACAGAGTTTGGTCTTCTGACAGCATTGCTCTGTGGGCGTGTGTTAGACCCCTGCCTTTCCGGTTAGACAGCACTCTCCAAAGGAACACACGTTCCTTTAGAACGTACCCTAGCAGGTGCCCAGTGCATTTGGGAGGCAACGTAATGAAGCTCTGGCCACAAAGACATCTCATCGCACAGTCCCCATGAAGCAAGTTCCTTCTTCCCAACCTGCCAATCACCTAATAGGCCATTCTGACAAGTGGTGACGAGAACTCCCACTGAGAGTGTAAGCACTGCATGTGGTTGCACGATGACCCCAGCAGTTACCGCTGCTGTCACAACAGGGGTGATGAGAACGCCTGAACTGCTCTGAGAACCTCTAGTCCTCCCAGGACAGGAGTCCAGAGCAGCTCTGCAAATCTCAGCTACTCCTGGGACAGGAATGTGGGCTCTCTGCACATCAGGTGGCCTTAAGATAGGTCTGCTCTGCTACCAGTGTGGAATAGCTCTCACCTGTGAAGGATGCTGGACCACTGACCAAGGCCTGGCACCCACCTAGCACCTGGGGCAGGTAAAGGCCCAGGCCAGGCTGGGCTGCCAACCTGCATGGGGACCGGAGCATCAACAGGAAGCCAAAATATCACTAGAAATGTGAAAGCAGTAGTAAGAAGCTCGGGGTGGGGCTGAGTTCAAGTGATAACCGATGGTCTCTAAACTCCCTTCTGAGGGAGGGAGGTCGGGCTATACGCTGTTTGGTGGGTGGTATATGCAACTTGGGGGCCAGAGCCGAACTGCCTGGGAGGAGAGGAAGGGCCATACGTGGTGCTCCTCTCTGTTCTTCCTTGGTGAGACCCTCACCTCCTCACCTGCACTGGCATTACGAGGCTCGTGGGGAAAATGTCCTCATTCATAACCAGGCTCCAGCAGCAGGAGAGATTCAGAAGTCAAGCAGAAAGGACATACAGACTAACATTTTCTGATCTTTTTGGCTTTTCTTGGGAATCTCTGTATATCAAATTTCCAGGTTGAATGTACAAAGAGGCAGAGCTGATATAATACAGAAAACGTGTCTTTGGCTATTACGGTTGAGGCACTTGAAGGCTTTTCACGAGCCCAACTGATCAACAGAAAAGCCTCATTAACTTGGATTCCATCGTCTCATAAAACACAATGAACACTCTTGTTTTAAGCTTTTCCAGTCCTCCCTGTAGCCTGCAGGATCAAGGCGGCCCTTCTGAGAATGGCACTGAAGGCCTTGCTCACCTGGCGGCATCCCCCTCCCCCAACCCCAGCTTCCCCGGGTCCAGTCCGTATTCCAGGCACACCGGCCAGCATTTACTCTGTGCAAAGCGCTAAGTGCAAAGCACTTACTCTGCTTTGCACATTCCTTCTCTTAGGCTAGAATGCCCCCAGCAAAATCCTGCCCCTCATATAAAGCTGTCAAATGTCACTTATGCTGTGACCCCACCCCGGCCCTCCCAGGCAGCCTCCTTTCTCAACTCACTTGTTTTTTCCAGTCGGAACAGCTGTCTGCACGTCTGACTGCCCTGAGAGCAGGGTCTGTCTCACTCATCTCGGTGCCCCTGACCCCCTAGATTAAATCAGCTGTAGCGCCCTAAACTGCCCTTATCACAATCTATCACAACAGTCTTCATAGTGTGCTACAAATACTTGATTTTCTGAATTTTCCCCAGAAGGGGGTTTCTCAGCCTCAGCACTACTGTTTGGGCTGGTGAATTCCTTGCTGGAGGGTCGCCCTGTGCATCGTAGGATGTTCAGCATCACCCGGAGCTTCTCCTCATCAGATGCCAGTAGTACTCCCGGCCCTCAGTTGTGACAACCAAAAAATGTCACAGACTTTGCCAAATGTCACGGGAGGCGGGGGGAGAAATCACCCCAGTTGAGACCACTGCCCTGAACTAGCATTGTTCACAGTGTATGGACCTGTCCTTGGATCCTGGAAACGCAGACTCGCGGACCCCATCCAAACCTTCAGAATCAAAACGCGAGGGTGGAACCAGCAATGGGCCTTTTAACCAGGTCTCCAGGTGATCCTGATGCTCACCAAATTTTTAGAAGCATCTCCCTAGGTAGGAAGCTTGCTCACAGCAGCATCCCTGCCACCATGCCTGGCTTGTTGCAGCAACTCAAATCTTTATTGACAGAATCCACAGCACCTGACTGCCTCTGGAAAGGCAACAGGTGTTCAGTGAATGAAATGACTATCCACTATCTACTGAAAAGGGCAATAAGCCAACTAATCATAGAACCACAACGTACTAAAAGTTGGAGTACTTCTTTTTTTCTGAGGAAGTTTAGCCCTGAGCTAACACCTGTCGCCAATTCTCCTCTTTTTAGCTGAGGACGACTGACCCTGGGCTAACATCCATGCCCATCTTCCTCTACTTTATATGGGACACCGCCACAGCATGGCTTTGATGAGTGGTGCGTTGGTCTGTGCCCAGGATTGGAACCCACGAACCCTGGGCCACCCAAGTGAAGTGCACGAACTTAACCAACATGCCATGACGCCGGCCCCTGAGGTGCTTCTTAGAGGTTGTGTGGTGATGGAAATGCTGGAATCCTTTCCAGGACACTTCCAGTGGGGAGTCATGAGGCCTTGACTTCAGCGACTTCAGCCATGGGTATTAACTTCCCATGACAGCCCATTTCGGTTTTAAACTTTGGGTTGTTAGAATGTTCTTCCTTAGAGCGAGCCCATGCCTCCTCCCTAAACTTCAGGTCTTGCCTGCCTAGAGCAGCGTCTCTCCAATTGTCCAGGCAGCACAGAGCCTGGAGGTCCAGTTCCCTCTACGGAAAACCACTGTACATCAGTATATTTATTCCATCAAGCAAACGAAGGATAATTCACTTGTAGAAATTACATACATCATATGTATGTAATATCAAAAGATCACAATTACGAGCCACAAAAACAACAAAACCCTGTTAAATTAAACATGACTGTATTTGAGTGTTTACAGATTTATTGGAATTTATTATTTTCTCTGGCATTTGCTAGCAATCATTAGCAGATGAGTGTCCCTAGATAACAAGGCTTTTTAAAAAAATTATGGCCAAAATAACCCTAAAGCTAATGTATCGGTTAACTCCTTTTAGGATATGACTTTGAGAAAGGCCCCACAAGTTTCAGCAGCAGAGCACAGGGGTCCAGCTGGCAAGACAGGTGACCACACAATGCACCAGCCAGAGCACTGGGGAAAGCCACGCCTTCTGACACATGACAGAATGGACCGCAGATGACACCCTTAAGGCGTGTCCTTTCCACCTCCATGTACGGTGTATGCCTAGTTCCTTTAGCCCTTCCTCCTGTAACACATCTTCCCAAATCTGTCACACCACTTTCAGGATTTTCTCATATCAGCAGTTTATATGTAAGTAGGCGCTTTGAATTAGAAATGAACCCACGTATGACTTTGGGGTCTCCTCTATAGATAAATGGGGTAAAAGACACCCACACCAGGCTCCCGTGGCCCACAGGGTACCACACCAGGCCCCGCACAAGGAGATGGCGCTGTTGGCCCCCAGTCTCAGTCCCCTGTTCTCATGCCCACTAAGCATAAGGTTCAATAGGTCACTAGAAACCAAAGGCACTTCTCCCCCCATTACCTGGACTTGATTTTTGTAAGCCTCCCCCACTCCCACAATTTGTGTTCATACCTCTTAACGAAACGTAACATGACTTCCCAATGTAAAGCTCCCTGTTCTGAACATTAAAAGCAGGTCCCTTGATCATTGTACATTTCTTCCTAGAAAAACTGAATTAGCTTGTATTTTACTTGACTGTAACATGGATTAACTTTCCCTCTACGGACCAGTGGCTGGATAGGAACAAAATTCCCAGTTCCTCCATTAGAACACCTGAAGGACTGCTTCAGCCCATCCTGAAAGCGATGGGCTCATGTTCCACATGTCTGGCATTTGAAATGGCCTTCTCCTTAGACGGCTAAATCAGAGATTTCACTGAATACAGAAAAATAACACATAGAAAACACAGCTTTCAGATTTACTGATAGCCTTCTCCCTAATTTTACCCCATAATTGCACCACACTTCTCAAACCCCAAATTTCTCTAAGGGACCCAGACTCCCTCCACCTCTCAAATCATCTATCACAATTCCTCTGGAAGAGTCCTACTCTTTAATTTTCTCTTAATTTAAATTTCTCCTGATTTTGTTCAAACGTGCAGTATGAAAACGTGAAAGATGAAGACAATGTTCCTTTGCTGAAGAAGTTTCTTCAGTTTCAGTGATAATTAAATGTTAAACGTCACTTCTCAACAATGGCATTTTCAGATCAAAGGCAAAATTTCAGTGGTCAGTTATAAACCTAGTGATGGCTTCACAGAACCACATTCTCGACCTGCCACCGCCCAAAAGAGTAGGCATTATAGCTAAGGAGCACCTGAAATTTATCTAGTTCCTATTGAAATGTGTTGTAAGTGGAAAATACAAACCCAATTTTGAAGACACAGTATGATACAAAAAATGTAAAATATTTCATAACTTTTATACTGACTACATGTTGAAATGATAATATTTAATATATTGGGCTAAATAAAATGTATTGTTAAAATTCATCTCACCTGTTTCTTTTTACAACAAGGCTACTAGAACATTTTACATCACACGTATGGCTCATGTTCTAATTCTACTGCACAGCACTGTGTAGACCACATGCTCAGAGACCCAGCTCATAGGTGAAATGCCTGGCACACGGCTGTTTGAATTCCAAGTCTGCCTTTGAAAACTCGAAGATATGAAATGAGTTTGCCTATTTAAATCCAACTCTTTCTCCCCCAATCCCTACCAGAGTAGCCACTTGATATTTTACCAAGAGTCATAAGAGACTAAGCACACACACTCCAGTTTCTCCAGAACCCAAACTG